TTGCTATTTGCATGTGTTGCTGTGTCCTGTGCTAGCTGTTCCTCTGAATGCAGGCTTGTCCGAATTGGCCTGTACGGACAAGTTTGAATATACACCTGATTGTGTTAGTTATTCTGTGCAGTTCCCCCTTAGTTCCAGTCTTCTTGGCTGCTAAAGGTTACAGAAGCTCAGCAAGTACAGCCTTCCTGCAAAGGGAAAGGACTGGGAAGGCTTTGTGTAGTAGTTCACTGTTGCTTGTTTATTTGCACCCACCACGATGCTGCATTTTATAGTGGGTGATGACACAATCTTTATCACGGTAGTATCACATCGCTGGTGAGACTGTTGGGTATTTACCACAAATCACAGAGCAGTACCAGCAAAATATTGTCATTGTCTGCCTGAAACTGCATGACTTCGCAGTCCTCATAAAGTTATGTTTCCCTCTGTTTTCAGAGTATACCAGGGAACTGCTGTGGTGAAATCCCCAGTGGCCTCACAGAATGTGGTTTTAATAACATCTAATGATCAAGAACAATTTGGGATGCTGCAGGCGAAATCCTGCTTCCATGACGTAGAACCATGTCTTGGACCTTATTTTCAGCTCTTATTTCCAGTTTGTGGGAACTGGCAAAATACAGAATAATGATGATCTTGTGTAAAAGTATTAAGTAGTAGGAGGGTCATCTTTTCCATTTCCAGAGAACTGAGAAAAGCTGGTTTGTACCTGCAGCACAGCAGGTTAAGTACTTGACCCCTGCAAGGTTGATATTCTCATGCTACTGCTGTGATTAGCAAGGATTCTTGATGGATTCTGGTTGTGTCCTTGTGAGGGTTACTGGTTATTAGTTACATTTCTCTGATCATGGCACTTTTTCTCCACTAAAATCCTTTTTATGAGGAGGCAACTGTCATAAGCGTATCTCACTATTTATTATTGGCTAAATGGAATTGGTGCTTTCAGCTTTCTATGATGCTGCAAGAAAAGATAGTAAAGTTTAAAGATGCAAATTTTACTTTGGGTGCTACAGAGAAATTAATAGCTGAATTTGAATTCATCTCATACAGGCTGTAATATGCAACTGCTGAAAGGATGAAAGGTTTTATAAGTGCGTATAAATCAAGGGCATGCTTTAGTACTGTCCTGAGGTAGAAAGCAAGGGCTGCAAGAACTTGGTTTTTACTTGGCAAAATCATCAATTTGCAGTTTTCTGCCCGGTTCTGCTTTGCATACCAGTCTTTTGTCTCTGAATTCTAGAGAACATTTTTAGGGGTTGTTAAATTCATGTCTTTTTCTTTTTCTTTTTTTTTTTTTTTTTTTTTTTTAAGCCCTTTGTCTTTTGGCAGGAGAAACTGTGTGGCCTGAGGGTGTGGGAGGGAAAGCAGGAAAATGTTCATAGAGTGTATTCTGCTATGCTGCTCCTGTCCTTGATGTGCTTTTGCCTTATTCCTGTTGTTCTCCCCTAGCACCAACAGTAGACTATGAGTTCTTTTAGTTATGAACATGGAGAAGGATTGAAGTCTTGGCTTTCTGGCAGCGTCCTTTATTTGTATGGTGCTAATACTGTTTCCTAGTGGAGTGCAATTACAACTTGTGTTTGATTCCTGTAATGATATTTAAAGCAGAAAACATTTCACGTTCTCAGACTTCGGGGGAAAAAAACAGCATGTTCTTTGGATCGCATTTCTCTGAGCAAATCAAACAAAGTCCTGTTTCGTGCATTAGAGGTAGTCTTACTTGAAAGTCTGTGAGCATGAATCTCTGGCATCCCAACTGGATGGTTCCTGTGGAAGTAGTTATCTTAACTCCCTGTGCCAAAGAGGCCTGATGTGTTAATTTGCTTCTGTAGAAACATTTGCAGAAAGATGCAAGATAAAGTTCTTCCCTACTAAATCCACATACTGTTTCTGGTAGGCTGTTGCTGTTCTTCCTTCCCAATTGGTCCATGTGCAGAAGAAGCACAGACGCATTCATACTACTGAAAAGTTGAATTAGTATAGGAGAAGAGGAGTATTTTTGGCATGAACAGAAAGTTGTATATTCTTGGGTTTGATTTACTTGTGCTGGAAGAATTGTGTTGTGTAATGGAGTTCAGTAAAAGGTATTTGAAGCATGTTTTAGGGGAGCATTTGACTTGGTTTTATGGTAAGATATGAAAATTACTTTAATGGTAGATCAGGTTGCTAAGTGAAAGAAACAAGAACTGTGATTCAGGACCCAAAAAGAACTCAGCTAAAGTATTATGTAATACAGGGATGATGCTAGGTTATAAATGGTTGAAAAGCTCAAAAGGAGATACTTTCCTTAATTTCGTGTCTTCCTTATGTGATGTTAACTAGTGAATTGTGTTCTTCCACACAGTTGTGTTGATATATGCATTGATTTCACCTCTTCTGTTTGTGTACTACTAAAAGTAATGGATTCAGCATTCTTACCTAGCATATTGGTTTGGTTTTCCTTTCTTTTTATCTTTTGGGTTTTGGTTTGTGGTTTGGGTTTTTTTCCTCCCCAAAGATAGCTATAGGTAACCCATTTATTATGGACCTCAGGAAACGAACATCAAGTTTCAGGGCTCCTGAGTTTTAGCATTTGCTCTGTCATGGGTTTGCTTGTATGTTCATGGGTAAGTCTTGTTACTTCTGTACCTCAGTTTCCCCATGTATAGAAGGACCTTAGACATTTAATGTGTTCAAAGGGAGTCCAATGGAGGCCAGAGATCACATATCCATTTACCTGCGGGCATGTTTATTTTTGGTAATCATGTTATCTCATAGAGGAACTGAAAGAGTAATTGATGACTATTCAAGTCCTAGGTTATTGCTATCTTTTTTTGTGAATTTTCTGTCTTTATTTCTTATTTTAGATGCTACAACCATCTAAAGCAATTAACACATTTGTTCTTATGTTATCTTTTCTGTTAATATACGCTGCTTCATCCTGAACGTTCTTTAGTAGTTGAAGGAATTTACCTGCTGGCTATTTCCTTGGTTTTTTGGTTTACTGGAGGGGTTTTTTTGTTGGCTTTTGAGGGTGTTTACTGCATAGCTATATCCTAGTGAATGATACTCATTCAGTCAAAAAGGGTAAGAAGTTGGATTGAATTTATGGGTACCAAGAAAGTTAAATATTACCTGTATGCTTCTGATAAAAAAGAGGATAGATGAGATGGGACAGACTTTCTAGCAGGGCCTACGGTGACAGGACAAGGGGTAACGGTTTTCAACTAAGAGAGGCTAGATTTAGACTAGATATAAGGAAGAAATTTTTTTACAATGAGGGTGGTGAAACACTGGAATGGGTTTCCCAGAGAGGTAGTGGAGGCCCCATCCCT